ATCGCGGCATTCAAGCCGTGGGAGAAAATGGAGATTGACCAAAAAACCTGGCAGGATAGGATAGACAATGTGCAGTGTTTAAAGTGTGGAAAGGAGGAACACATCATTGCATGGTGTCCACTCATCCGACACCCAAAAGCGAGCCGCCAATAGGAGTAGCATCTACTTCTACTGAGTTAAAGAAGTCAGACGATGAGAAAGGTGAGGCGCCTACTAACCCTTTCACTTCTTCGACTCGCATGGCAGAGGATGGTTGTCCTCCGACCCATCATCCAAATCACCATGAACCTGTCTTATGTTCTGTCTCTCTGGATGACTCATTTGATGAGCTTGGTAATGAATTGCTGGCACTACGAAGCTCATGGGCAAAGGAAGCAAAGTCTAAGGGTGAACTATTACTCGCGGATGTAGAGATCGCACACGAACGGACGGGTGCACTTTTAGTCTCAGGATCTACACGGTCCTACATTTCTGAGAGAGCTATTCGCAAGCTTCATCTTGGAATGAAGGTAAAGTGTTTAGCACGACCTATCACGTCTATTCTTGCTAATAAAAGCACGATCACTATCTCTCATTATGTCGATCGTGTGAAATGTAAGTTCATAACTAAGAGAAAGAAAATTGTGCATGAAATATATTTCCTAATTGCGAAGAACTTGCCGTTTGATATGATTCTGGGAATGGATTGGCACGAGGAAGCAAACCCAGAAATCAAGTTAAAGGAAAAGAAAGTACGCCTGAAAAACGCACAATCTGAACTCGAGGCCATCAAACTGTATCACAAGTCTGGATTTGACTCTACTAAGTCTTTCTGTTGTATGAGCTATCCAGCTTTTCGATCGATGGTCATGAAGAAGCAATTGGATCAGGAGGTAATGATGGTGTTGGTAAAGGAAGTTGGTGAGTCTTCGACATCTTATCCTTCATCGATACAAAATCTCTTAGATGAGTATAAAGATTTATCTCAGGAACCTACTGGGATCACTGAGCGTGCTATCATACACACTATCGAGATCATTCCTGGAAGTACGACTCTCAAGGGCCCTATTTATCGAATGTCACCTAGGGAACTTGGGGAATTGCGCAAGCAACTCCAGGAATTGACTGACAAAGGATGGATTCGCCCTAGTTCCTCACCTTATGGAGCACCTGTTTTATTTGTGCCCAAAAAGGAAGGTGAGTTGTGTCTATGCATTGACTATAGAGGGTTGAACTCCGTCACTGTGAAAAACGCTCAACCCCTACCATGAATTGACGACTTGTTGGATCAGCTGCAGGAATGCAAGTACTTCAGCAAAATTGATCTGAAGTCGGGATACCATCAAATCGAGGTGGCGCCTGAAGATCAACACAAAACTGTTTTTCGAACCAGGTATAGACACTACGAGTTTGGGGTCATGCCCTTTGGTTTGACGAATGCCCCTGCGACCTTCCAAAGGTCTATGAACGAATTGTTTCGACAGTGGTTGGATCAGTTTGTAATTGTATATCTCGATGACATCCTAATCTACAGTAAAACGCTGGAGGATCACGAGAACCACTTGTGTCTTGTCTTGGATAAGCTATGCGAAGGTAATTTTAAACTTAACCCAAAGAAGTCTGAGTTCAGCAAACAACAACTCCTTGAATCTGCTCCTGACATTGTCTCTGCATATGAGCGTGGGTTGAAAGGTTAATTATTTCTGCGATGGAACTCGAAATTGGGTCAGCAGGAACGCAGTAACCCGCACTCTGCAGAGGCCGGGCTGTGCGACCACGCACTACCCGGCCCCGCCCAACGTCTGGCCAGTGAGACCCAGCGTTGGACTGGGGAAATTCAAAGGTCAAAGTCAACTGTCGGGTCGCAGGTACCGTACCCAAGTCCATGAACAGATGCACACATGTGTTGTATGCAGATACCGGGACAAGACATCAGACCAAGGGAAAAACAGTTGCAGACCGATCCAGGTCGTCGCCGCATCAAGATCTTGACGGCACAGGACCATTGCACCGGGGCATTGACCCTGAGTCAACGCTACTTAAGGTTGACTCMTGGCCTTGACATTCATTCATTCTGTCGCAAGTCAAGGCTGACTCTACTTTGACGCGACGCTGGCTTATGAGGTGCTGGATAATTGCTAGCTGGACGCTGGCGTTCCTCAGCGGCGACACGCTGCTTGCTTGCTGGCATGGGGGCTGGCTTGCTCTTGTCTACAAGGTGYTGACGTGGCAGCGCCACGTGTCRTTGCTGACGTGGCTGCTGCCACRTAGGRTGTTGGTGACSTGGCTGTACCACGTGTTCATTCGCTGTTCAGGCTATCGTCGTCCGGAAGGAGGTCAGGGACTGTGGGGTTGAGATGACACGTACCTGCTTATTGAGATGACCTTGCTGCTCCGTTGATGAAGAGAACGCTGATGTGCTACGTAGCACCTTGAGGAACTCAGATCTGTATCTGGATTGACGCTGCTGGAGAGGGGGTGACTCTGATTGGCCCGAAGGAGAAGTGGGCAACTTCTCTTCTAAGTCTTTTCTTCCCCCCTCTCCCTCTCTCGTCTATGTATGTATATACTCGGATAGCGGAACAGATCTGTTCGACACTATTCATCAACAAGACTGGATTACTCGAGTTGCTTTGTCATTGAGCCATTGGACTATTGCTGCACGAGCGCTGATGCTCGTGCATTGCTGCAAACAGTATCTGGATGTTCAATGAGTGTTATCTTGCCTGGGTTCATTGCACAATTGTCGGCCACAGAAAAAAGAACCGCAGAAATATGATGTCCGAACACTCCCCGCCAAACTGGAAACAAAAGTCGGGCGCTGCAATAAAGAGGCTTGGCCCAAACTGGACTTGGGCCCAACTGGGAGCGAGGTCTCGCATGTGAAGCTTCACGCAAGATCCCACTCTTTCCATTAAGGGTATAATATATTTAGAAAGCCTAAGAAAGGGGAGGAAAAAAAAAAAAAAAAAAAAAAAAACTGGCACACAGCCCCTTTTGGCCAATGCCTGGCAGCGAGAACTTTCCCCCAGTGGCTGTGAACCGCGCAAGTTACAGCAGGATGCAAGCCGCAACTTTGAAAAACTTGCTCGCTGGGAAAGATCTGGCCGCCGGCCGGTGATGTCCATTCCATCCCTTAACCGGACCTGCCCAAAGTAAAAGTCTGATTTCATTTTGCACACACTACAGCACGATAGCTATTTCCATTTTGGGTCCGTATGGAATTTCCACCACATTTGTCGGAAAACGAGAAATTTCAGTGTCTTTTACATTTTGTTTTCCGTCTTTTTTACTCACGTCTCCACACTATTTTTCAGAGGTTGGTGAGTCAGTTGTCAGGTACACTCTGTTTCAGTGTCTACCCTGAACACACCCATTCAGCACAGCCATTATGACCCAATGCATGTGTATCACCATTACGACCCGATGCATGTGTATAGTGCATATGCAAGCTGTACAGCCATCTTGCAT